CCTGTTCGTATAAAACCAAACACAAATCCTCACTAAAATGCAACAAAAATCTAAGTAAGAAAAATAATAAAAACAGAAAAATGAGCCCACCTGAAATTCAAAGGTGACCAATGTCTACCTTTCGTCTAAAAAAAAAATGTCTGGTACCTAATTGCCACGCGTTTTCCTCCCCCCACTAGTGATCTTATGGGGTATCACAAAAGCTGTCTATATCCGGTCCCCCCTACCAAACCAACCAGCGTACCAGTCTTAACTCGAGTTGAATTTTGGATCTCCACCTAATATTACCAACGCGTGTTAATTTCTAATGTAACTAAGTCAACGATGTCGACTAATTAGTTACTCTAATTTCCCCCTTTTTACAATTTACAACCGCCAACCTCTAACTTAACCAGCCCCCCTTCTAACCTCCCCCCTTTCTAGCCCCCCTTCTTAAGCCTAAAAATTTCTTTAAGCGCCGGGTGCTAAACTTCTCAAGAGAAAACCGTAGACCTGTTTCCAGGCCTGCTCAAGTAAAAACGTTCCTCAAAACTGGGGGATTTCGCTTATCCAATTTTACACTTATCTCTTATAATGTAATGTGGATTCTAACGATACCCGTTCTGCCCAACTCGAGAACTCGAGAATTGCCAAATCCTTCTTGGCTGCTTTCCCACTCGACTGGTCACCTGTTCCAGTCCAGTCTCCTATTGGTTCAGCCAAGTGTCCCTGAACCACTTTCCCACTCGGCTGGTCACCTCTTCCAGTCAAGTCTCCTATTGGTTCAGCTCAAGTGTCCCTGAACCACTTTCCCACTCGGCTGGTCACCTCTTCCAGTCAAGTTTCCTATTGGTCCAGCTAAGTTCCAAGCTATCTGAAAACCCTTGACAACGCCCCACTTCGGGCACTTTATTCAGTTTACTGGTTTAAATTGCTAGGTTGATCGAAACGATCGAACTTGTAAAACAGTATGGGTATACTATTTAATTAATATAAAGGTTTGATCCAACTAATCTGGTGTCAAAGTCACTGTCTTTTTTCGTTTTATGGTTTTTGTTCCTTTTTCTATTCTTTTTTGGTTTTTGTTTTGCTTTTTGTCTTTTTGCTCGTGTTTTTGTCCCCCTAGTTGCCCCCTTTTACTCGGTTAGCTAAGCCTCGTTCGGAGAGCGTACCAGGAAATTTTCTCGAGTTTTCTTAAAAAGCTATCACGGTACAACCGGAAGGTTTGCACGTTCCTGTCGAACCGTACCGCCGGTACTCTAGAATGGGCATTCAGCCCGAAGCTGTCTCAAGTAGGTTCGACTCCGTAGTCTTGATGTCGTAAACACCCAGGAGCGCCATAAAAACACTATGTAACATTCGTCTACTACAGTCACACATGAGGCTTAAGAAAAATAGGCCCTATAACCACTGGCTCAAGGGTCAGGGACACTATCTCTTGTGTTTTCCCACCTCAAGAACGGTCGGAGCCAGTTCGGTTCGCTTATGACATGAGACTACGACCCGTTACAGCTTAAAGGCTACTACTAAAATATCCCCCCACTCTAGAATTAAGAACGTCCCCATACTTAGGTCTCTAGATACCCAAAATACATGAACGCCGTTAAAAACCGGGTTGGAACAATCCGTTAGGTTACTTTTTATTAGACAGTGTGACTTTGATCCATTTCAGATGGATCAACCTAAAACTCGCCTTACCTCAACATAAAAATCACAAAACACACTCTAGAAATTTAAATTAAGGACTCACATGTTGATGCGCTCAAGCACAGGAAGTAATTAAATGGGTGAGCAACTCTAGAATTAACTAAAGTAACTAGATAAGTTCAATGTTTATCAGTTTGAATGGTAAGGGTAAGTTTGAACTCAAGAACGAAGTTTTATGTGGACCATTGGGACACTCAAGCTGTCCACCTTTCCGTCGAAGGTTCACTCTGGTCCAGTTCGAATAATTGCTCTCTCGGGAATACTCTGTCTTCTATTTCAGATAGGACAGCTCTACTCTTGTTCACTATGATGGAAATTGCGAATAGCAATTTCCCACTCGTTTTTTTATCTGACAACTTTCCCGCAATTGTTCTAAAATTGTTCTGATTTCTTTTTCTGATTTTCAGTTATCGCGAGAAAATCGTGCATGACATGTTCCATTCGAAATTTTGAAAAATTAAATTTCACTTCAAAATCAAGTATTTTCTGCTCTTCTCAAGGTCAAACTTCCAAATATGACCGACTGGCACAATGTCATCAAGACTATCAAGAAGTTCGGAAGATAACCTTTTGTAGATCGGAGCTGTCCAAGACTTCTGAAGCTCAGATTGTGACGGCACATTCTGTAAACCTGTTTTGGATGACCAAGAGGCAAAAGCCAAAGTAATGTAAGCATCATCGCTGATGTCAAACTTACTAAGAATGGTTTGGGTCAGCCTACCACAACTAACCGCAGACGCAAGAAATGCAGGAAGCGCGAGATGGAAAGCAGACGTCAGACCAAGACCACCAGAAGAAGAAAGCAACAGAGACTGCAGCTGGCTGTTAGCATCGAGCCTAACATTGGCACATCGAGAAAGGGCGCTCACAACTAGTTGTCGTACTCACGAAGAAGATCCTCCTCCTTGAAGCAACAAGCAGTTCGCAAAAAGTACAACAATTTGGGCAGACTCAAACTGTTTCTAAGCAGAAAAAGCGCGTGGTGGCCATCGACGTTTTCGAGAAAGTCACACATGTTGTCGAGTTCTTGTTTTTTCCCAGTAAGAAGTGTCCTTCTTGCTTCATCGCCAATAGGAGCACCAAGGATGACAAGGTCTTTAAGATCAGTAATATCAATCTTCGGACAGATTCGATTAAAATCAGATAAAATCGAGGCTTTAAGGTCGTCGTCAGGGCAACCCAGAAAGACAAGTTCGCACTTAGACGAGTTCAGTTCAAGACCAAGGTTTGCAGCAGCCTCGATTATTTTTGACAAGTCGGCTAAAGCAACTCCAGCTCTGTCGCCCAGGTTCCCATCATCAAGATACCAAAAATTCAGGAGCGAGGAAAGTCGATCGATAATGTCCATGATTAGGTCCGAGAAGAGCGGTGGGCCCTCGGGATCCCCTTGCTGGACGCCAACTTCCGACATAATGACAAAACTCCCGAAAAATAAATAACTCGGAGTTGCGTACGCTAGAACCGAGTAATTGTAAATTGCCGGTGACTTGACTTTGACGGTGTCCAGTAGTTTTTCTCGCGAGAACGAGCTGAAAGCATTACGGAAATCAATCTTGACGATAACAAAATCTTCCGGAAGGTCAGTAGACAAAGTTCTCACCGCATGCGCCGCCGCTTCAGCTCCTTTGTTACAGCCGTAGCCGAGCTGCAGATGCCCATATCTAGTCTTGCGATTAGTTTTCTCAGTAATTCCCGCACACTTAGAGACAAGTCGCCGCAAGGTGTTGCCTACAGCGATAGGGCGCACACTACCATCTTTTTTACCGAGCGCAAACAGGTTGGTAGAGAAAAAGTACGGTCTCAAGCATGGAGGAATGTTCCCTATGATGAACAAGTATGATGACCAGATCACTCACACATAATTGTTGTGATCACTCACACATAATTGTTGTGACCAGCAAAGAGTTGGACTTTTTGTTTGGACGCAAATTTCTTTGTCGGCATGCATATGAAACTATTTAACAAGTTTATCACAACAATTAGGCTAACTGCAACTGGACATATGCAACTGTGGCTAATATGCAACTGTGGACATTGCAACCCGGTGCAGAAAGTCAGCTCAGCCGTCAAGTGAAACACAGAAGCCTAAACTCTCTCTCATTCCCAATGCTCTCTCCTCCGCTGCTGAAACATTTAGACTTTTGGCAGCTTTAACAGTTCCTCCTGTTTCATCGCGTTAATAGCTGGTTGCATATTTTTAGTAACTTGCTATGATTGGAAAACTTTATCCGAAAACTCGGTGACCTTTCTGTCGAGATCAGCGACTTAGTTCGGAAACTCTTTTCAGGGAAGGATAAGTAACATCGCACGTAATATCGGCACTAACGTGGCAAATATGTAATAGATTTCTACTTAGCTTTTTGAGAACTCGTATTACCTCCGCCTAAAATTCGGTGCACTCCGTTGTCATATGCAATACTTTGGAACACTTCACACATTAGAATATGTCTCCCTTCAGATTCTTACTGCATGTATGACAGTGGGCTCTCTTCTCGACAGAACTTGCCGGGGTACTTCCCGACCCATCACTCATATTTAAATGAAATCACTATTTGATAAGTTTATCGCAACAATTAGGCTAACAATAACCATTCGAGGTCGTGTACGAGTACGATCAACCTCTCCAAGGCGAAATCTTTATCAATGTTTGTATCACAATGCTCTCCTAGATGTTCAAATACCTTTGTTACCTCCTTGAGGTCATGTTAAAGCCGGTCATGTTCAAACCGTTGCATACCAGGTCCCGCATCTGACCGCACCAACTCAGGAAGTCAGAGATCCGAATTTCCATCCTCCTATTATTTGTAGAAATGTCTGGGCCAGTAAGTCGTCGGGCTGCTTGACTAATATCAACCGATGGTTTTGCTGCTAGACTAGGCTGAGAAATCACACGTACTACAGAGACAGTTACCGCTTTTTATAATTCATCTACCTGCACGGAGAAAACCTCATTTTTTGAATCAAGACAAGCATCACAAACCTAACAGATTCTTGGATTTCGTTAGGAAAACGTAAAACTCATGTGGAATCTTGATCAGGCAGAATTGAACCAATTCATGCATTTCTTGTAGTAGATCCAGTCACCTCAATTGGCCAAGTTACACGTCTTGCCCATTTCGTTCGTGTTTGTATTAGACGGGGTTGATTAAGAACTCGTTCTCGCACCATGTCCTGGAGCCATATCAGTGTCTTAAATCTGTTTAATAAGTTTTCATAACAAGTAGGCTTCATTGCTTCATTCAAGCAGTCAGAAGTCTGATATATTAATCTTTGTTCAATGGTTGCCCCCCAATGTGCTTACGAGGTCTTATTTCAGGTCGAAATATTTTAAAAGAAGTAATTTCCTAAATGGCGGATCATTCCGCAAGTTACGAAGAATCGTTTCCTCAACCTGAAGCGATAGAAGATTTACCAGAAGCAGAAAAGCGGACAGAAATTAATCTAGAATCAGCGCATACTCCATCAGATGCTAGTAAAACTCAGGTACGAAATTGAAGTATCAAAAAACCTGACGTTTTGGTAAAAGTATGATCATTGGGTCCCTGTAAAAGCAAGAATGAACGATGGGTCGCACGTTAAACAAATGCTCTTCCTGTTCCGGAAGTTAGAAAGCGCAAACAAGTTTTGGGTATCCGTTTAGTTTTTAGGGACCCAACTATCATACTTGTATCGGCATTTTGCTGTTTAAAATCGTTTTATATGTTGTTAAAGGGGACAGATGCAGTAAAACCTCCGCCTGTGAATGTCTGGAAAAAACCTGCAGCAGCTGCTGCATCTATATGTCAGAATCAGTTAGATTCACCCCAAACAGGAACCGCCACAAATGAACCCAAGCTACCTAAAAGTAGTGCGTATATTGTGCCATAATTGTTTTGCTATCTGAGTTTCATTATGAAAACTAATTACCCGACTTTGACTTTATAGTAATTGATTTTTTTTGTTTCAGAAGACAATCCATGGGCAACGGAACAAGAAACGGTTAAAGCTGTAAGTGATTTCTTTGAAGAACAGATGAAAGTTAGGATAATTAAAGAAGAATGTACACAAAAAAGTTTAGATCCTTTTAAATGAAATCAAAGATAGTTGTTTCCCACTGCAAAAGCAAAATCTGTGGCTTATTTATAGAAAGTTTTAGCTTGCAATGCTCTAATAACTACAGAAGTGTTATCATAAAACGGCGATTGGCGATGAGCTAATATGCTCTTTTAACAGCCCTTTCGGAGAATATATTTATGTTAATTTCCTTAATGATGTAGTAATGTTAATGAATAAATGAATTCAAACTTCTGAATCTGAATAACTGCTAAACGGCCAATCCAAAAGGACTTATTTTTGCGCGGAACTAAAAATATATAATATAAATATGGTTTAAATGTTTTGAATAGTGATGATTTACTTGTAGAGATACCGGACAAAGAGAGCTGAAAATTAAAATGTAGTATTTAAAACGGTTCTTATGCAGTTCATTTCCTTAAGATGGTTAGAATCAAACACAAGTACTTTCTTCCACGAATTTAATTTTGATTTATTTGGAATTAAAACCACCTGAAATCAGCATTACTAAAATTTTCGAAAGGACTGAAATTGATACCAGCGATAGCAGGAAACTTTTCAGCGTACTTGATCGATGGGGGGGGGGTCTTATTATGTATAAATGGTTAAATTTTGGTTTTAATTGTTGTTTATGATTTAGCCTGTCAAAACTCCCGGAGAAGACTGGCCTAGCTTGAAAGAAAATGAGAAATTTCTGAAAACAACCGAAGATCAGAAAAATGATCTAGATGGAGAAAATCAGCTAGCTATGAAGCCGAAATCCCCGGAGAAAAAAGCTAAAAGAAGAAATAAAAAGAAGGGTACGAATCTCAGCATTCAAAATATAGTCTCTAATAAATTGGCGATATAATAATTGGTGGATGTAATTTTTTTGTTATAAGTCAAGAAATTTGTTTCAAATTTAGCCGCTCTCTGCAATTGTATACAGAAGAATAATCTATTTCTCAGTAGGGTTGTAAAAGTTTTATTGTATTCGAACATACAATTCGACGCTCCGCGATTTTTTTCTAATGTGACTGTATTTTAGCTGCCAAAGCAGCAGCAGCGGCGGAACAAGCAAATGAGCAATCCAACAACAGTAGTGCAAATAATAACTCGACTAGCTCAAAATCTGTAGAAAGCACACAAAATGCCAGCACCAATGGTCTATCAAAAGCACCAACCTCACAACTTTCAAGAAAGGGCTCAAAAGATGTCACCAACTCACAGAGTGCGACAGCAACCAATCAACAGTCACAAGTGAACAGTGGTAAAAGTAGGCAGAAGTGGGTTAAAATGCAGATAGATCTCCCTAGAGCGGCTCCGAATGGGTTCATGTCGAAAGCGAACCCCTTGCCAGCCGGTAGCAAGTCGAGAAAAAATAAAAAGAGAAGTAGCGCCAAGTCAAAAGGAACCAACAAAGCACAGGATGGGTTAGTGCTATTTGATGGCATCAATCATTTAATTTTATTGTCTAGGCTACATTTTTTTGTTTTTGCTGTTTTTTTAACCAAGTGGTTTTTCCATTATAGCCCTTCAGCCTAGTAACAAAAAAATTCTTGCACCCTCCACACTGATTTTCGATTTTGGGAAAGACGCTTCTGATAGTTGGAAAGACCCAACCAAAGCTATATATTACTGTTTAATGAATCGAAATGTCCTGCACTTGAAAAAATTCTTTTGACATATTGGAATCAAGCGATAATTTCTTATCTTTCGTTGATGAGGAGATGTATTGTTGGCTTTTGATATCGCTATCTGATTGGTTATTTTCATTTTAGACGTCGAGGCTTCTTCAGTGATTTTGACGACGAGGAAGCTCGTAAGTATCATTATGATTATTTGATTATTTCCTGATTTCGTTTGGGATATAACTATCTCTGAAAATGGTGCTTTCCACTGCTGCTAGGCTATCGTAGGATGATGGCTGATAAAATATACAGCAAAAATCTACCGGTGAAGAAGTCCCCGGCAATAATGTCAGCAATGGCTCAAATACCTGCCATTCATCAACACCAACAATACAAAACGGGGTTCCAGTTTGCCCAAGGTTCATTAATAAAACATGACACTATTTTTAAGCTCAGAATTATGTGCACGTGGCTTAAATTGTCGCACTCTGTCTGATTAATTTCTATTTGAAAAAAATTATTTCCATATATATTTGTTCAGTTTTTTTGTAGCAAATGCGCTTCTAATACTTATTACCTCGTCGTTTTACTGCTCATAGTTACCGCTGAATTTGCTGTTTCTGTTATCACCCTCCGTTAGTTAGTGTTTCTGTGTTCACCAAGCGACGTGAAGTTTGCAATTTTTTTGCCCTAATTAAAAAAAGAAGAACCTGGTAGAAAAGCGGTATTTTTTGGTCGATTTGGCGAGTCATTGACGTCAAAGTGTGGGGGCAGTTTAAGGGAATTTGAGGTATAGACTAAGTGTAGAAAATTTCTCTGAAACATTTCACATTGAGTCATTTAGCCTAAACCATTTAATTGATTTGCAATGCTTACTTTAATTAATTTGCAAATGCCTAACTGATATTGTCTTGAATTTACTTTGATTGACTGGTATCGAACTGAAAAATATTTGATGACCTTTAAATAATACAATATGAAGTGATGACGCACGGAATAAAAAGGTTTTCCAGCGAAATAAAAAATGTATCTATTGGTCTATTTTTCTCTAAAAAGCGTCAATTATAAACTGTTTTTGAAATTCAAAGAGCCTATAGGGCCTTTTTTCCCCTGAATTTCGAAAGTTGACGTTTTTTTTTTAGAAATTAAGTTATTATTTCTGTTTCTATGTCTGATGGCTATGTTTTGAATTACCAGCGAAATAATATATTGATCTAAATGGGATTTGTTTTCTCTAATTAGGTTAAATTTGAAAAATAGTGCCAATCAGAAACAACTGTTCAGATTGGGACAGAGCTAATTGAACTAACTGGGATAATTTTCTCTAAATGGGATACGCTAATCCTTTCGTCCGGAAACAGAAAAGGTTAAAGATCTTAGAATTACTGAGATATTTTTAGCTCAAAGTTTCCCATGATAACACTTTTGTGTTCGGCTCAACCAGAGTATAAGATTTCTCGACTTGATTTTAACTCAGAACATGTCTCTGAAGGATTAAATACGCTTGCGATTAGCAATTGTTATCAAATTGGAATATCGACTTTCGGGTTAACAACTATGTTAATAAAATTAGTGAGATGATTCGGGGTGTCTGTTCTGATGAAATGCCCGTAACCAGATTTCTTGAGTATGTCTGCATTTTAAATGACCGTTTCAATTGAATTGTTGTTGCTTTCAATTAAACTCGTTTTTTTCGCAGATTGTTTTCGTTTTTTTTCTACTTGGTTTTCTCCGACTTAAATGGTTTCGGCAGTTAAAATGTGTTTATTGTCATCATAATTCGCCGTTTGATAGGCCAAAACTTTTTAAATGCATTTGTGCTCACGAAGGGGGTTGTGAAAAACGGGAATTTAAGATTTTTAAGCTCAAAATTGATAATTTTTGTTTAAAAGTTTGTTTTCGAATCAGTCGCTTTTGTCCTAATTTTTTTGGCTAGCTGCCGTTCTGTTTTTCCGGCGTATCGCTTCGGCTCTGTGAATTAGCTCTGAATTTTTTTTCCTTGACATTTTTTCGAAGTGAACATAATTCAAGGCAAAATTATTACACTTGCGAAATCAAGTGTCTTGTAATCGAGAACTAGACTTTTTCCCGTAAACATCTCTCCTTACAAATCTTAATTGCTTTTTTTTACTTGCTTTATTATTGAAGCTGAAAAACTTCAGGTTCGTTTCCACTTGGCCTAGAGGTAATATAGTCGCTTTTGCACCCTAAGGTCAGTGGTTCAAGTCCCGTCTGGACCTTGTTTTTTTTTCAGTATGTATGCAATTGATATTTGTTTCCGATTGAAATTAAAGTATCGGAATTTCCATTGTCTGCTCAAGTCTTTTTGGCGTAGTTAGGACGTCACGGATTTTGCTGTCGCTGTAAGCAAGTTCTTGTAGTTGCAAGTGCTGCGAGCATCTTTTCGATTTTTTTTGTTGTATCGCAAGTGATGCGACTCTCCGCTTTGCCTGTGTGAAATTTTCGTAATTGTGTTTTTTCGAAATTTTTTCTTCGACTCAGTGATTTTTTTATTGCGTGTGTTCATGTTTGTGTGGTATTGCAAGTGATGCGAAGCTTCACTTCACCTTTGTTTTTTTTTAAAAATTAATATGAAAGTGATTTGCTTTTTTTTTATTTTCCAACAAGAGGATAGGTTTTAACACCCATCCTGATTCAAAAAAAAATTTCAACGTTTCAGTTTTCAAAAATTCAATGCAAGGCAAAATCATTTTCATTTTAAGCGTAAACAATACTTTTTATCAGAACCCAAATAATTTTTATCAGAACGGAAACTATTTATGTCATCATGACTTTAATAAAAAAAACGGTAGCTTTTGTTATAATAAAAGCTATATCGGGCATTAGAAAAATATTAATAACAGGAAACACAAAATCGGTCATCAGTGAAATTCACATTAAAAACCAAAGGAATCAACCGTAAAATATTCAAATCTATCCAAATTACAGTAAAAAAAAAGCATATTAGATAATTTTTGCAAAAAGGTATATGACGTCAGTTAGATAAATTGATAGACGTTGAACAATTAGATAACTTGTTAATCTGTTTTATTAAAAAGAAGTCCCTGCTTCTAAGTGAAGCGTTGGACCGCGAATAATATGAGAAATATATCATCGAGCGGTCCCTATCATGAAAAAATTGCAACGTCAAAAATTAGTTTCATCCCTCATCATTAGAATGACGCTTGCGATTAGCAATCGTCATCAAATCGGAGTATGACTTTTTCGGGTTAACAACTAGCTCAGCAAAACTAGTTGAATCACTTATAATGCTGCTATGCAGCTGACATACTCAATTTCATGAACATTCACTAGTTACTACTGATATATGCTATAACTAGACTCAAAACATTGAGTGGATAATTATGGAGTTTTCCATACTAATTTTCTGTTATTGATTTTTCGCCTTCTTGGTCGTCAACTTATGCTCTCTCGAATTAGTTTCCGAAGTTCTATTTGCACACATTATTTATATAGCTAGCGTGGATACTATTTGGGCGTTACATGCAATTATTTTCCAATATAATTTTTTGACGAAAGTTATCGGATGAGGTTCAGCTTTATTTCAGTCGGCTTATTTACCGATTTTTTCCCTTTAAATGGCCGGCAGTACTTTTGATATCGATAAAACTCTGTTATCATTTTTTGAATGCCCATAGTCAACCCCACTAGGACCTTTGGAAAAACTTAAATTTGTTTAAACTCTAAAAATGTATAAAGTTTTTTGCTTTAATTTTTTTCGGTTTCTGCTTCAATTGTAACCATTTTAAGAGTAATGAAAGTAGTAGAGACGATGCCTTTTTTCATGTTTGAGATTCTTTGATGCAATTCCGGTATATCGAGTTCAGATAAACGCATGGAAAATTTGGTTCATTAACCACATGACAACCATTTAGATTTGTATTTTAACAGCTAATGGAGCCTTTGGCTTACTGAGAAATTAGACTGGTCAGGTCCTCATGTTTTAAAATATGAAAATTTTTTATTGAATGAGCTACAGTTTAGATTTTAGAATTAGAAGATAAACAATTATTTAGAGGGATAACATTTTCTCTTTCAAAACCTTAAAAAGCTTTGCACAACGATAACACAAAAATCCGCGTTTCAGTTTAGTCTTATAAGTGGGAATTTTGTAAGTTTTTGGTGGCTTTTCTCGTGGGGTATGTTGAATCTTCCGATAAGAACAGGATATTCAGAAAACTTTCGCTGTGTAGGCCCTCAATTGATCGTAAAACAAACAAGCAGTTCAACAACATATAGTTCGTGGACAGTCAAAAATTTCGCGCTTTGAAAATCAGTCCTAATACTTTCGAAGTTTCGTTTAAAGCAGATATGTCGCAAATTTGTTTGTAGCATATACAAAGGTTTTAGGGTGCTATAACTCGTACCACCATATTTAAGAATTCCGTATTGGATTTTGGTTTTAACATTTGAGACATAATTACTCAAAACTATATGTTAAGGTACATAATGTCTCATTTTTGAAATTATACCCCACCGCTTTCGAAATTTGGGTCTTAGAGAGTCTATATGGGTCAAAAACATTAACTTCGAGTCTATGTAGACGCCCAAATACTTGCATGAAGTGGAAATCTTAAGATTGGTCGAATTTATTTCTAGTGTTGAACTGGAAGCACTTTTGGATGCAATATTGACTTGATAAGTTTTATCTAAGTTAAGTGAGAGTTAATTAAGATCATTTTAAAAATCTTCTACAGAGCAATTGATACCTGTAATATTCGTTTCGTCGGCAAGAAAAAAAATCACATTTAGTACATTCTTTGGAAGATCATTAATATAATATTGAAAAAGCAAAGGCCCAACAATGGAACCTTGCGGAACGCCGCGTTTAACTTTTGGCCAGCTTGAGTGACAGCTTCCATTTTCTAACATGTGCTTTCGATGTTTCAGATAGCTTACAAACCATTCAAGTGTATTACAACATATTCCGTACTTTTCTGGCTTTTCGAATAAAACCGAGTGATCCAGAGTATCGAACGCTTTTTTTAGATCAAGAAAAACTGTTGAAATGGGGTTGTTTTTTAAATTTAGTCTCGTTCTTTCGGTAGGTTGTTACCGATGATGCCCTATTTTTCAAATTTGAGCTTATTTGATCCACTTCCGGTATATCAACTTCAGATAAACGCATGGAAAAACTTGGTTCATCAATCATGTGACAACCATTTACAGTTGTAATTTAACACCTCATGAAACACCCACATTAGCAAAAAAATCATTGAATTCGGACGCTATCGCGTCCACGGAAGAAGTACTTTCACCATAAGTTTTTAGTATTGCGCAGATGTTTTTTTTCGTTATTGATTCTTTTTAGTTCATTTAATAATTTGTACGTGAGCCTCGAGTCACCTAAACATAACTTTAACTTTTTATAGTATTAGTCTTTCTTACATTGACGAAC